CTTTTAGATTTTTTCAGCAGTCTATTTTAAAAGCAAAGTATTTAATTAGATAGCAACAGCCCAGGCAGTAAAATGCCTACTGTGCAAATGTAAGAAGCTAAATTTGATCCTCAGCATCCACGTGAAGAAAAGGTGTGATGGCATAAACCTGTGAGGAGGCAGAGAGAGCTGGATGCCTGGGCCATGGTGGCCTGTCAACCCAGCCTAATCAGTGAGCTCCAGATTTCAGTGAGAAAGTCTGCCATAAAAACCGAGGCCTGGCATAGTGACACATCCTTTTAATCCTAGAACTTGGGAGACAAAGACAGGTGAATCTCTATGAGTTTAGGTCCAGCCTGGTCTACATAGTGAGTTCCAGGCCAGCCAAGGCTACACAGTGAGACACTGCCTCAAAAAACCAAGACAACAAAAACAGTAATAACAACATTATAAGGTGGACCTCTGGCCTCCACATCTGTGTATACATATGTATGTGTGTGTGTGAACATGCATAAATGTACATGCATACACATGAGTGTACACACCTACACACATACACACAAAAATATTAAAATTCGAAGCCAAATTAATCAATGTTTCTCTTTAGATGGCTTATGCTTTCTGAATCCTAAGAAATCTAACCTGAGATCACTGATATTCATTCACTTTTAACATGGATACACATGACTTCTGGGAGAGTCCTCAAGTTTATCTCAATCTCCTTTGTACATACATATTAGCTCAGTGACTGCCAACGCCTCTCACGTAGTAAGTACACACTGATGTTTCTGAATGAACGTTCAGCGTGCACCTGTTAGGATTTGAATCATACCCACAAGCAGTCACATAGTGGAAGCCTTAGTCCCTAGTGCAGCTGGGCTCTGAAAGGGGGCCTCTGGGCTGTGGGCCACGAGGGCTCTGACTTCATGAATGAACCAATCCACTTATGGATTTATAGGGTGTTAGTCCGTTTCCTGTTTTGTTTTTAAGTCACTATATATATATATGAAAGAAATCATCTTAAAAGGTTCCCTTCTGTTGCCTCACATGTGTGGTTGGTTGTCTGGCTCTCTGCTTCTGAGCTGAGATGGGGCAGAGCATCACGGTGGAAAGTGATGGGAAGCAGATTGCTCACTTCATGGTGGCGGGAAGCAGAGGTTGGGGACAAGGGACAAGACACTCCAAAGCATTCCTCCGGGCACTGACTTCCCGCTAATCCTCACTTCCCCATGTTGCTGTCAAATATCAAGGGATTACCCTTCAGGATCCAATTACCTCTCGGTTACTAAGTCTGCCAGCTGGGAGCCAGGCTTCTAGCACATGAGTCTTTGATGAGATGTTTTATATCAAAACCACAGAACAGAACATCTGGGTCTCAAGCCCTTTCCAGCCAGCATGTGGCAGCTTCATTTTGCCACATGCTCTGGACATGATGTCCTGCCTTGTGACAGGCCCACAGCCACAGGGCCAAGTGACCATAGACCAAAGCTGTAGCTGGAGAATTTCTCTCCAGCTCCTGCCAAGCCATGCCAGTCCCAGAGCCCACTTACAAAATAAACACACAAACTCATATTATTTAAACTGCTTGGCCATTAGCTCAGGCCTACTATTGTCTACCTCTTACTCTTATACTAAGTCCATTTCTGTTAATCTATATGTTGCCACGTGTTCCGTGGCTTTACCTGTTGCCTCTACGTAATGTTCCCTGAAGGGTAGCTGGTGTCTCCTCTCTCTGCCTTCCTCTCCTTTTCCTCTCTCCTCTCTGTTAGTCCTGCCTATACTTCCTGTCTGGCTACTGACCAATCAGTGTTTTATTTATACAGAGCGATATCCACAACACAAAGCCATGGTCCAATTAGATGTTTCTGTATTTTAAGTTGATTTTCTTAGGGATTTCTGTCACTGCAGTGAAACATTGGTGTACAGTATCTCCTTCATTGTCTTGTGTCTGGATTTTCTCCTACAAGCCAGGCAGGCTCACGCACAGAGCTCTCCACAGACCAAGACTCCTCTGCTTCTGTGTTCCCATGCTCCGTAGAGTCCGTGAGATGACAATTTGCCATGGTATTTGAGCGGCTAATTGTGACAACTAGTGGGACTTCCATAGATGACGATAGCATTTGTTAAGAATTGGCCGGCCCCCACTCCAAACACTTCACATCCCTTAACTTAATCCTCAAATCCCTGAGAAGAGATGACAGCTCTCTTGGACCAATCAGTCAGCTCCAGGGCCACGTGAGTCCATAGTCATTGTTCTCACTGTGATAAACTGCCGCAGCTATGGCTGAACTTGTAGACCAAGGGCATGTTTCACGAAATAATACCACGTTGAATGCTTTCTTTCTTGCATCGAGTACTTCTCCAGTCTCAGCTCAGACTCCTGACTCTGAGGCCTTCCGAGTGGGGCCTTAGGACAGAATTATTCCAAGGAAGCCTCTTGGCCACCTGGGGTGGGGAGCAATCTGCCCCTCTTGGCACATGTAAGGCTACAGGGCAGGGCCCCGCAGTTTGTGGGCGGCAGAGGAGCCAGAGCTAAGGGGACAAACTAACATCCAGCCCACTCTGTTTCCAGGAGCCTTGAGGCCGAGTCTCCCACGATAAAGGAGCGGCCTCATTTCAGTTTCAATGAAGGCATCATATATGGCAGCAAAGGTCCTCTCCGAGCCTCGCTCCCATCTCTAGGAGAACTACATGCAGTGTGACTTAGCCAAGCTAATCATCACATTCTGTCCCCTTGGCCCTACTGGCTGGTTGGAGCCCTGAGTACATAGCTCACACCAGGCTATTTTGGGCCAGTCAGGCTTCATTTGGAAGCTTTTTGTGTGTGGTCTGTGGACCTTTTTCTGGGTTGGTGAAAAGTCAGAGTCGTTACTTCTATCTTATTAGATGAAGCCGAATAGTGAGGCTAAATTCCCAGCAAAACAGCCATAAAATGAAGAAGAGAGAAAACCCCATCCCAGGACTATCTTTAGCCATTGGTCCAGTTATACGTCAATCTAATTATTTTATGAATTGTTGCATATCATAAATCAATAAATTCTCATTTTTATTTGGGAGAGTCTGGCTATCAGTTGTAATGGATAAGAAATACACGATGCCCTGCACACGGAGGCATCCCCCTGCCTCTGCTCCTGATCAGTTTTGCCCTTCCCCCACAGCCTTTGTCCCCTCTTCATGCCTGTTGATTTCATTTGGTTTATTTTTCTGTCTTCTTCCACCCCCACCCCCACCCCCCAACCCCCCCATCCCCCACCCCCACCCCCCCGGGCCTTGCTAAAAGATACAATCCATGATGGCAAAGATGATCATCCACTTTGCTTATCAATGGCCTCCCAGACTCCAAGCATTGGCTCTTGGCACCCAGCACGGACTCCTGGAGATTTGCAAAATGCCACGCCCAGGTGAATTCCTAAGGATTACTGAAACTTTGTATGCATACGGGAAGGTCACACAGCTCTAGAGTTAACTGTGGGCCAGCCTCCCTTCGAACAAGATGGCGGAGCCATTTGTCTACGTGGAAGGGCGCCCACCATGTGCCCGTGAGGGTGGGCCGGTTCCCAGTGTTGCAGCAGTTTCAGGGAGGGCGCTTTGTCATCCGCAAAGACTGTCCCCAAATGGCAGTGATCCCCACACAGAACTACTTCCAACCCATTTTAGAGCTTTCCAAGTGTTTATGAAATATACTTCTATCAGTTACTGTCTGGGTTTTTATTTTTCTCTCTCCTTTGCAGTCAATGAATGAGGAGGGAAGGTGGGCCCGGGGTTCTTTTCTTTCTCCTGCATCTTATTCCATAAACATCAAGGCCTTCTCTCTCCCGAGGGGATTTTCTCCCTGTGACTTATGTTGCAATTCTCACTGCAGCGCTGCAGGCTCTGGTTTGGGTTCTACGTGGCTCCCATCGGCTGCACTCTCAATCTATTGATCGTCTCTACCCAGGAATCTGATGCTTTTACTTTCTGGGCAGTGATCTGTCCAGATCCCTCTTGAGAGTGGGTGGCTGCCGTTTCAGTGAAAAGGACCCTTCTGTACCTGCCTGTCACCTCCTTTGAAATCTCACTGTTAGGATTTATTTAGGGGTGGACAGGCCTCTTTAGAGTAATACATTGCTGCTGATGCCTTCCTCTCTGACATCAAAAAAGAAGGGTTCCATCCGTTACCCCTTTCCTCACTGACCATTTTCTTCAGTGGTCCTTCAGCCAGCCCTTGGATGGCTCTGGGGGCAAAGGAGCATTCTTAGAACAGGGCGGCACACTGTGTTCACTGCTTGGCCATGTCAAAAGGATAAAGTGTGTGGCCTGGCCGTGTAGCCAGGTTAGATGGACACTTTCCTTCTAATGGACCTGGTCAGAAGCACCACACTTCCCAGCAGCCAGCAAGTCCTACGTTCTTCTCCTACTGCCCTGCAGACTCCTGACCTAGGGTGTGGGGTGCATCTGTTTGACGCTTCGATTACTGCATTAGTGAGGCAAACAAGCTCTAAGGAAGCTCAAACTCTGAGCGCAGAGAAAGGAGCAAGGCCACACACAGAGCTTGACAGTGGCAGAGAAGAGGTGAGTCCCAGGGCCTCCCGGTCAGTCCACTGCACCACTTGTGACTGTCACCTCCCAGCCTAGGTCCAGAAGAACTCAGAATTAAGCACCACCTCCACTCAATCAACCTTGCTCCATTTACCTCTCTGCTCAAACCAAGTGCTGCTGGAGACCTAGGGGGCAGGGACGAGGAGGAGGGTGATGGACAGACATTCGGGAGTGTTCCTGGGTCTTACTTCGCCTTTCCCTTGCCATCAGTGCCACCCTGGCACTCAGCAGGCTCCTACACACACATACACCACTATCTAATGAAAGAATGTATGGTCCACTTCAGACTGGCAGGGACTCCACCGATGAACTTTCATTCCGTGGCAAGAGGATGAACAGCAGGGAAGTCGGGGGGTGGGGGTGGGGTGGCGTATGGGCAACAGAGGGAGGTCGCAGGTTGCAGGGGCCCAAGGGGACAGAAGCTCACTCTTGGCTATTTGTTTCTTGGCTCCAAAACTTTACTGGTATGACAAAGACCCAGTGGTCAGGAAGCACATTTCTACTTGTTGGAGACAGCCCAAGGGAAGAGGAATATTAGAAAGGATTGTAGCGTGAACACTGAGACCGGAAGCCACTGTCCCACTATGCTAAGATCTCTGAGACCGGAAGTCACTGTCCCACCATGCTAAACCCTCTGAGCCTGACAGTCAGTGCTCTGGAGGCCTCATCAGTGTTCGCTGCTGCGTTTACTCTCAGGGATAATGATTATATCAGCCACCAGGTGAGAGGGAGGACGAAGGAGCTTGCGCAAGGCTGGCAGACGCTTGATTCCTGCTCTATGGCTTGTACTTGCATAGGAAGTGCTGTCGCTCGTCACATCTGTTTTTGTTCCACTTTGAAAATTCTGTAAGAAAATAAACAGACACTTAAACCAAGCAAGTTCAGTACTGAATTTACCAGAATTATCTGTGTTATTCTTGGAGTCTCGGACAAGGGCCGGCCGCGGTTATTTCAGGAGCCAACGTGGGTAGGATATGGTATTGTTTAGTCCAAACGGCCAGCAATTGCTAGCTGCCTAGCTGTCTAGATGTTGCTCTGTGGGTATTTTGTAGATATTCTTGATACTCAGATCAAAAGATATTGAATAAAGCAGGCCAGATGAAGGGCTTCCTGCAGCAGAAGATTTTTCCCTTTAATTGCTTTGGACTCAGTCTTTCCACTGACTGCAGTAATTTCCAGCTCGCCCCCCGGCCCAACAAATCTCCACTTCCCATTACTGGTTCTCTGGGGATCTCTGACTAACGCACACACCCACTTTCTCAAATCACGGTAGATGGTACAAGCTCTGCCTCAGCACTCGGGAGGAAGCAGCATCTGACATAGACTGAGGGGAGGCTCCATTTGTGTGGTGCTTGGTTTATTTGTTGTTGTTTATTAAGATTTATTTTTCAGTTTTATTTATGTGTGTGTGCATGTGTGTGTGTGACACAAAAGGGCATCAGGTCCCCTGGAGCTGGAGTTACAAGAGGTTGTGAACTGCCCAATGTGAGTGCTGGACACCGAACTCCCACTCTGTGTAAGAGCAGCAGTTGCTCATAACTGCTGAACTCACTCGTTTTATGTCAACATGACCCATGCTAGAGTCATCAGAGAAGAGGGAGCCTCAACTGAAAAAATGTCTCCATAAGATCAGGCTGTAGGCAAGCCTATAGGACATTCTCTTAATTAGTGATTCATGGGTAAGGGCCCAGCCCATTGTGGATGGAGCCCATCCCTGGGCTGGTGGTCCTGGCTTCTGTAAGAGGACAGGCTAAGCAAATTATGATGAGCAAGCCAGTAAGCAGCACCCCTCCATGGCCTCTGCATCAATTTCTACCTCCAGGTTTTTGCCCTGCTTGAGTTCCTGTCCTGACTTCCTTTGATGATGAACTGGGATATGGAAGTATAAGCTGAATAAACCCTTCCTTCCCCAACTTGCTATTGGTCATGGTGTTTCATCATAGCAGTAGAAACCCTAAGACAACTGCTGAGCCAGCCCTCCAGCTCATTCTTTGTGTTTGACATGGTTGCATCAAGGACCTGGGGGTGGCTTTCCTAGACTCCACAGGCAAGCTCTGAGATGCTCCAAGTTTCTGAGAAGCTCCTTCAAAGACCTGCAAGCCTTTGTAGCCAGTCATGTCCCAACAATGGGTTACTCACCTTAGAAAGAAGGACTGAGCCAGAAACCAGGGACCTTTGGGGGGACTGAAATATATATTTGTAGGAGATGTCCAACTATTTCTGTCCTCAAAATGGAATTCCTCAGTCCTTGTCATCCTGGAGAGGTTGTGGCAGAATGCTGAGTTTCCCCCTAGCTGGTGTCTGCTTGGGTCTTAGCCTGCAGGTCTGAGCCTGTCACCTGCTCTTATTCCCCATACTCCAGAGACACAAAGGGTAGTCGTGCATATGTCCTAATTCAAGGGGCCTGTAGTTGGAGCACCAGAACATGATGGATTGGGGACCATAGGCTTATTGAGCAATTCCTAGCATGGAACCAAGAGCGTGGCGCAAGCCTGCTATCCTGGAACCTGCCCTGCGGAACTCAGGTTGGCCGGCTGGACACGTGCTGTGTAGGGTCCTTTGGTACATCCACTGAGCCCAGAGAAGAGTTGGAAGAACAGCTTCAGGTGACCACGAGTGGCTTACCCCTGGGTGGCCACCTAGACGGGTACCCATTCTAATCTCCTCCTGCCTGCCTCCCTCCCACAACACTAAAGAGGGAAGTGTTGGGAATGGGGGGGGGGCAGTGTGGGCACACCAAACCCAGGCAGTGAGCTCAGCCCATATATGAAGGCACTGTGTAAACATCAAGGTGATAAGGGTTCTGCCTTCTCCCTCCCATAAGGAGACATCTGAGGCACAGAGGAGGAAGAAGTCTGTGCCAGGACAGGCAGTTCAGCAAGATGGAGATGCCGTATTTCTACAGGGTCACACAGAACACAGAGCGCCTGCCCTTGACCCCGAGCCAGACTGAACAGAGCTTGTCTTTTTTCCTTCTTTCTTTTTCCTTGCAGCACTGAAGATTGAACCCAGGCCCTCAAAGACACTCGGCAATTGCTCTACTGATGAGCTATAGCCTCCGCTCTCTTCTCGCTTTTTTTTTTTTTTTTTTTTTTTTTTTTTTTAAATTATAACGCAGGGTCTCATTACATTGCCCGGGCTAGCCTTGAACTCGCTCGGTAGTCCAGTCTGGCCTTGAACTTGATGAGGCTCCTGCCTCAACCTTCCAAGGACTGGGATTACAGGCCTGTGCTAGTGTGCAGTCCCCAAGTAAATAGTGGGTCACAAAACAGATGATGATACCGAGTGGAGAGCCCCAAGGGAACGACAAAGGGACACGAGGGACGAAATACCCAGCAGTCCTTCCTAAATAGCAAGGAAACGGGAACGGGTCCTGTCACAGAGAGCAGAGTTCATGCATGACTGTGCATAGACTAAAATTCATTCTACCGATACAAGATAGCACTGGGGTGGGGCGGGGGTGTCTCATGAAGATTCCCTCTTTAAGCTCTACCCTTCTCCAGCTTTTCACTAGCTCTGTACCTTTCCCTGGGCTTTTAATTAATTACCTAATTTGATGTCCCCCCCCACACACACACACACGTGTGTGTGTGTGTGTGTGTGTGTGTGTGTGTGTGTGTGTGTGTGACCGACCTGTGAGCTTCCAGGGAATCTCCGCCTCCCATCCTCCGAGATCACACATGCACACTACCTTGTCCAGCCTTATGTGGGTTCTGGAGATTCAGTCTCAGGTCTTCGCGCCTGCGCAGCAAGCTTACTGCCCCTGAGCCACCTCCCCGACCCCCTGCTTTGGGTCTCCTTGTGTCTGAAGCCTGTGTTCTGATTGCCCGGAGCCGAAGCGAAGCCAAGCGAAGGGGAAGGGTGGGATAAAAAGACTCAGCCTCCCACTTCTCACGGTTGTGCCACAGGCTCCTTCAGGGTGGGATTCTGCTGACAGGACAGGACTTGAGGACTTCGTCCAGCGAGAAGCCCAGGACCATGGGGATGCCAGAGGCCTAGGGGAAATTGGTCAACTGCTTCCCCAAAACTGGTCTGGCTAAAAGGTAGATATGGAGGGCCTCACGCCATGGGTCGGAGCGTCCCTGGAAGGTGTTCTGTTGGAACGTTCTTCAGTTATCTTTGTGGCTTCCAGTCTCTTTTCTAACATAGTTTCTACTACAATGCAAACAAAATGTCCACCTTTTCCCCGGTTGACTCTGGTGGTAGTCTTCTCACTGCCTCCTGAGGCAGCTCACTGTGGTTTGCACGGTGCTAACTGTTCACAGCCGCCTTGTTTTAGTAGCTTGAACCCATGGCTTTGCCTGTGCTCTGCCTAACTTGCCTTTCAGAGCAGCAGTGTGGGCTCTGCTGGCCTGAGAGATTCCCCTCTCCAGCTGTTTGCCTCTGATGCCTCTGTCATAGTCTGGTGCCTCATGCCCCCTTCCATTGCTGTTAAAAAGTTCCTTCCATTGATTTGGCAAAGACTGCTGAATGGGTGCAGATGGATGAAGGTTCATAGACTGTGTGTCAAGGTCACCGTCCTGTAAGCAGTGTTGCTGAGTGAAAGCGGCGTTGGGAAGCAGGACAAGGATGCCCCTTTTGCTCTTAATGGGTTAAAGGACAGATCTGCAGCTTGGAGGGAGGGAAGGGGTACAGGGAACTTACTATTCTTGGGGTTCAGCTCAGCACAGTGCCTGGCTTCACTCTTCGTCGTGGGATTCCAGGCATTGTACAGCTGTGTAGACCCGTCAATCCATTGCCAAAGCTGATTCTGCAATGACAGGAAACGGAGGGAATGTGCAACTCAGCCAGACCACCCTCCCACAGCCACATCAGGCCCGTAGTCCAGTGAAATGGGCTTTCATGGGGCAAAGCATATAATGTCTGAAGAATCAAAATTAGGAAAGTCACCCCACTCAGTGATAGAGGAAAACGTCACTAATGTTTTAGCATATTTACTTCTGATGGAACCACGATTATCAATGTACTAAAAATACTGTACTCTTTAGAATACATATGTTCAAGTCTTTCATGTTGTTTTCTAAACCCTTATTTAACACAAGGATGTACCATAATCTGCTGTGGGGTGGTCTATATGTCAAATTACTCTGATTGGTCAATAAATAAAACACTGATTGGCCTGTGGCTAGGCAGGAGGTATAGGCAGGACTAACAGAGAGGAGAAAAGAAAGAACAGGAAGGCAGAGGGAATCACTGCCAGCTGCCGCTATGACAAGCAGCATGTGAAGATGCCGGTACCACGTGGCAAGGTATAGATTTATGGAATGGATTAATTTAAGTTGTAAGAACAGTTAGCAAGAAGCCTGCCATGGCCATACAGTTTGTAAGCAATATAAGTCTCTGTGTTTACTTGGTTGGGTCTGAGCGGCTGTGGGACTGGCGAGTGACAAAGATTTGTCCTGACTGTGGGCCAGGCAGGAAAACTCTAGTTACAATAGTCTATCTTAATAATCTTCTATTGACTATTTTGAGTATTTTGTTCCCAATTATCAATTACTATGAAAGACACTGCTGTGACTAATTTTGTTGAAAATCATTCTGTATTCTCAAAATTATCTCCTTTAATATATTCCAGAATCAGAATTGTGAGTCAAACAATGTGACTGTTTTGAGGTTATCAATATCCATTAACAAAGTACTTTCCAAAAACTGCCCACTTGTACAAATTTACATGCTCACTGACTAGGTACAAGGACCATTTTTCTACATCCTCAAGATATTATTCATGATATAAGGAAAAATGTTGATAATCTAGGTCAAATGATATCATTTTAGTTTGCATTTCCTTGATTATTAGCGATAGAGTACAGTTTTAGAATATCTGTTTGTCGTTTGTGTCTCCTAGTCACACATGTAAAAAAAAAAATCAAAGTATAAAAGCATCTCACAGAAATAGATGTAAATATATAGCATGTCTCTGAAAGCAGAGCTTTAATTGGCAACAAAGTAAATACATAAAAAAAATGAAACAGTTGGCCAGATGTGGTTGGCACAGGCCTTTAATCCTAGCACTGGGGAGGCAGAGGCAGGAAGATCTCTGTGATTTCGAGGCCAGCCTGGTTCATGTAGGGAGTTCCAGGTCAGCCAAAGCTGTGACACTCTTGTCTCAAAAAGTAGAGGAGCTGGAGAGACGGCTCAGCTATTAAAAGTATTTGTTGCTTTTACTGAGGACCAGGCTTGGTTCCCAGCATCCACATGGCAGTTCACAACCATGTTACCCCAGTTCCAGGGTACCTGATACTTTCTTGTGGCCTCCCCAGGTACCAGGCACACTCATACATGCGGGTACATACTCATACATAGACAGTAAAAATATAAAAAATATTTTAAAAGTAAAAATTGTGCAAGTCAAATAAATACCACTTAAAACAGATAACTGAGTATCTGGTATATATTATATAGCGAAACAAAAACAAAAAGCAATCACTTGGTTTTCTGCAATATTCAAAAGACAAAGTGTGATTTGATTCCTAGGCAAGTGCTGAAGGGTGACTCCATGTTCATGGAATAAGATATCTAAGCTTTGGTGTCTCCAGCTACATCATCGGGATCAGAAAGCAGGCCTTTCCCTCCTGTGACCCCATTTCCGTTAGGTAGAGACACCCCACCCCAAATCCATAAATCCCGACGTGCCGTGGTACTTCTCATCGTCCAGTGCTGAGGGAGAGGACAGCAAGGATCCAGAGGAAAGAATTATGAACGATTTAAAAAAAAAGTGACAGAATCTCAGAAAAAGGTGAGCTGGAAGTTTTCATCTTCAATCAAGACCTAAAGGCAATAAAATCACTCTGAATCTTCTAGAAGACCACCTTGCATGCTTTCTCTCTCCCACTCTGTCTCTCTCTCCTTTTTGGGGAGGGTTCTAAAACATTGGTGATTTTTGTGTCTGAAGATCTAGGAGGACATTAACTCAAAGTTCCACAAAACAGAGCTGTTTAAATTATTTCTTCTACCGAGGGAAAGAATGGGGTCCCTGACCTTCAGGCCTTGGTTTTGATCATTGGAGGTGTTTGGCTGAAGGACTACTACTTTCGTCCTGTTTGTAGGCCAAGAGGCCACTTCTGAGGAAAGGGTTAGCATCTTGGGTTTTCCAAGAGGCTCTATGAGATAAACATGGGCTTACCTTCTTTGGGTCATGCAGGCCAATCCACACAGGCAGGTTTCTTTGATAGCCAAATATGAACCTTGCTATGACTTGGCCTTCCTTTTTATTCAAGACGGATGCCAGATGGGATCCATGTCCATATGACTGACACTTCAGCTGCAAGGAGAGGTCCCATTATTGATGCCATGAGTATACAGCTCTCTCCTTGAAGCCCTGGTGTGCCAAGCAGGATGGATTGTCTGCCCTCCGCCCCCCACCCCCCCAACAGGGATCTAAACCCCACAGTGTCAGGTCTCAGGAAGCAAACGCTCAAGGCCAGGGCAGGAGATTTAGGGCCAGAGGAAGTAGACGGAGTCCCAGGGACCTCCACAAGTCACTTCACCTCTCTGAGGCACAATTTCCTAGTAATTACAGAATCCGGGGTTATCTCGCTCCCTCCTCTCCCCCACCTCTCGTTCACTCCATCTTTCTTCTCGCTCTCTGTCTGACCCCAGTTATTCCGGTCTCCACTCAACAAGGCATTTCATTCCCTGAATTTTCTTGGCTACTTCTCTTGGTCTAATCAAAAGGAAATCACTTTTGCTTGCACTGAAATGAAATCTTCTGTTTAGCTGTTACAACCACACAGGTCTTCCATGTGTCACTTGTTTGTTGAGGGCAAGTATCCCCATGTTGCCAAGGCTGGCCTCAAACTAGTCATGACCTCCTATCTCAGCTCCCAAGAGATAGGGTTGCAGGAATAGTCCACCATGCCCCATTCTCACGGTTTTGGAAGTCAGGGAACACAGCCCGATACTCATTAGGTGTCACATGGTGAGTTCGCCACCCTCGTTCCTTCCCTTCCTTTGTGAGTAACACACAGGACACTTGAGACCACTCTAGGCTTGGATCATGCCACATTGCATCTCTATGCGCTAATCTGTCACAAGCTGGAGAGACAACATCAATTCTCCACTTACTTGGACTGGCTATTTAGATATTTGGAAATGTCCTACACATAGCTGGAAAGAATAAAATCCAGGCATGTGCATGTTGTGTCAAGCGAGGACACCTCCCATTTCTATTTCTTGGCTTTTTGCCTAGTGTTCCTGAGACCCATTTCAGGCATTTCCACGTCATGCTCTCTGGTAAGTCTCATAGGGGAATTCAGTTATTCTTTGTACAAGTCTCTCAACTCTTCATGCTCCTTTCATATGTGTATTTCTGGCTTTCTGAGGGCCATGGCTACTTCCTACTCCATGAAGCCCACTGAGAGTCTGAACTCACAGCATCTACATCATCAATGTTCACAAAATTGAAGGGGTCGAGCACATTCCCCCCTCCATTTTAACCACAAGGCTTCTTCTCCTTGGGTCCCAGGAAGAACCCTTGACTTTAAGTCAAATATGATCTGCAGCTCTAGCTGACCCCTTTCTCTTAAAGAAACCAACAGCTCCAACTTCTCACCTCAGCCTGAGACCAGCTTCTCAGCTTCCGGAAGTATCCATAGCAATGGGACTTGTAGAGAAACCATCCTGGACGACAGCTGGGTCTCAAGACAGCTGTACAGAAACAAAAGGCGGTTACAGATTGTGTTGTCACAAAACTCGATGTGATGATAAGACACATCATACTTGTTTTTAATTTAGAATACCTTAAAGCAAAGGAAGAGTCCATTTCAGAAGGACCTTGCTGCACTACTAAAAATATATATACTGTGTGGGGCTAGGGATCTAGGTAAATTGGTGGAATGCCTGTCTTGCACACACAAATCCCTGAGTTCGAGTCCCAGCACTGCGTACGACAGGTGTGGTGTGCATGTCTGTAATCCTAACACTCAGATGATGAAGTAGTAGAAGAATCAGGAATTCAAAGCCATCCTTGGCTATATAGTGAGTTTGAGGATAGCCAGGGTTATATGAGACTCATCTCAAAACACACACAGAGAGAGAGAGAGAGAGAGAGAGAGAGAGAGAGAGAGAGAGAGAGAGAAGACAGAGAAACAGAAAAACAGAAAGAGAGAACAAAATTAAACCCCAAATTTTTATTATTACTCTTCTCCCAGCCTTCATCAAAGGACCTTTTACCAGGGGACCATTTACTGGGACGGGGGAATCAAGCTTTCTGGGAGTACTGAGCACACACTCTGAACCAACAGTAATTCCAAGAAACCCAAATATGACCGTGGCCCAGCTGTCAGAGAAGGAATGAAGGAGCCCGTGGAGCCATTGGAGTTTTGGGTCACAATGTGTGTTCTGGAGGGTCAACGCCACTCAACCGTTCCATTCCCCTAGATCTGGGTGCGTAACTGCAGTAGACAAATTCAGCAACCGGCAGAAGGACACAGCAGGGCTTCGAGGAGTGGACAGATGTAGACTGGGAGTCGGGGGCATTGTTAGGAGAAAGAGCCTCTTTGGAAAAGAGTGGGATACACAGCAACCAGGCTGAAATGTGATCACGGGTGGGCTGTGCATGAGCAGCGAGGAGAGAGGACTATTAATATTTCAGAGAAAAGGAATGGGCTGGGCAGAGGCATGAAGGCGGGACTGTGCCTGGTGTGTGCAGAAATAGCAAGCCCCCAAGTTTGTCTTGAGTACAGGGGATCTGTAAGACAACATGGCCAACAGGAACGGGAGAGGCCTGCGGCAAAGGAGGCTGTGACTCAGGGAGGCTCGGGCTGGCTGCTGGCCAGCTGGCAAGTGCCTCTGTACGGGAGCTGGAAGCTGAGAAAGCAGAGATGAGTGGAAGAGCAGAGGGACTGGTGACCCGGGGGACGCCAGGCTAGCAGCCTGAGCCCTGGGACAATGTGGCTGCACACCTGCACTCTAGCCCAGTGCTAAGGTCTCTCCGGGGTCAGATGGCTGTGTGTCACTTATTTACTTCACTCCTTGTACTGTTTCATCTACTGCCTCTAACTCTCCAGAGCTTCCACACTGATTTCAGATAAGCTCCCTGCTCCTTAGTGGTCCCTCCCCCTCCCTTCCTCTTCCTTCCTCTGCCTCCCCCCCCCCTCCCCGAGACCTCATATATCCCAGACTGGCCTTAAACTCACTATGTAGGGAAGGATGACTGAGCTTCTGATTCTCCTGCCTCTGAGATCACAGGCACGCATGGCCATCATTCTTGGTTTTACAAAGCAGTGGGGGATCAAACCCAGAGTTTCATGCATGTTAGATGCACCCTCTGCCAACTGGGCCATGCTGCCAGCCCTTACGCCTTTCTCAGCTCCATCTCCTTGCCCCGTCTAGCCACATCCTCCCAGGCACCAGTCCCAGCTGATTTGGAACACAGTGCTTCTTACAGATCTAGATCTATTGCACGTATGATTGACTCTGTGAATGATGGTTAATCACTAACTGAGCTAAGAAATGGAAGGGAAACATATTAATTATTTTCCTTATTGTTGTGAAAAAAAAACCAACTGGAGGAGGAAAGGGTTTGCTCTGGCTTGTAGTTTGAGGGGATACAGTCCTTCAAAGCAGGAAAGGCCAGGCATCAGGAACACGATGTAAGTGGTTATGCTACATCTCCAAGCAGGAACCAGAGTGAGGTGGGCACTAGTACTCAGCTGATTTTCTTGTTTTGTATTCAGTCCAGGACCCCAGCTCACAGGATGGTGCTGTCCACGTTTAGGCTAAATCTCCCTTCTGAAGTTAACCCTCTCTGGATAAATCCAAAGGTGTGTCTCCTAGGTGACTCCAAGTTTAGTTGACAATGTAGAATAACCGTCACAAAAAGGCTCTGAGGATGACCTGAAACAGACTGATACCAAGCAGCAAAGATCCTCATTTATTTCTACTGTTAGAAGAAGAAACACACTTTTACATTAAGTAAAAGGAAAATGTTTATTCCACTGAGACCCTGGCTGTAGCCACCATTGCCAGCCTGGCCCGTGCTGGGCATCAGGCTAAGCAGTTTACTCGGCCTTTATTTTTATCAAAATAATTCAGGAAGATGAAACAGGATGAAATGGTTACCTGGCAAAAAGTCTCACACCGGAAAATAGAAAAGCTACACTTTAGATTCAGTTTTACGACCTAAAAAACCCATGTTTCTACCTTTCAGGAACCCTTCTGACCTTTGATTTATGAATATGCAAAAGTGAGAAATTAGAAACTTAGTAGCAAATGATTACAGAGTTAAAAAGCAAAGGAAATCTTAATTTTTGAATCTGACACTAAATATTTTTCTTTTCCTTTAAAAAAAAAAAGTTATTGAAAAAGTGTCTTGCTATGTAGCCCAGGCTGGATTCCAACAGATGTTCCCGATTCAACTTTCTGTGTGCTAAGATTATAGGAAGGCACTAAATCCTGAGAAACCAAAGCTTTGTTGTTGTTGTTTTGTTTTAGATCATAGAAATTGAATTGTGAACACGATGACTTTGGAAACCAAAGCTTTTTAAGGAGCTTTGTGCTTTGTGTTGGCTAGTTTTATGTCAACTTCCTAGTTTTATGTCAACTTTATGACACAAGCTAGAGTCATCAGAGAAGAAGGAGGGAGCCTCAGTTGAGAAACTGCCTCCATAAGATTAGGCTATAGGCAAACATTTTCTTTTCTCTCTTTCTTTCTTTTTTTCTTTTGGTTTTTCGAGACAGGGTTTCTCTGTAGCTTTGGAGGCTGTCCTGGACTAGCTCTGTAGACCAGTCTGGCCTCGAACTCACAGAGATCCGCCTGGCTCTGCCTCCCAAGTGCTGGGATTAAAGGTGTGCGCCACCACCGCCTGGCTTGCAAACGTTTTTCTTAATTAGTGATTGATGTGAGAGGACCCAGCCCATTATGGGTGGTGCCATCCCTGGGCTGATGATGGTCCTGGGTTCTGTTAGAAAGCAGGCTGAGAAAGTCATGTGGAGCAAGCCAGTGAGCAGCACCCCTCCATGGCCTCTGCATCAGCTCCTGCCTCCAGGATCCTGCCCTGCTTGAGTTCCTGCCCTGACCTCCTTCAGTGACGGACCACGATGTGAAAGTGTGAGCCAAATAAACCCTTTCCTCCCCATCTTGCCTTTGGTCATGGTGTTTTGTCACAGCAATAGTGAACCCCAACTAGGGCCAGGCTGATCATCAGTTACTGTTCTGAAAAAGCTGAGTAGTGAAATGGGCCCATATTGGGAAGGATCGTCAACACAGCATTGGGAAGGGGTATAGTTTCCAAACCAATGAAATGTCCCCGTAGGCTCCTGTGTCTGAGCGCTTGCTCCCCAGCTGGTGGCGTTGTTTTAAAAGCCTGTAGAACTTTTAGGAGGTGGCACTTCACTGGAGGAAGTGGATCCCTAGGGGCGGGCCTGGGGTGGCCCAGCCTCACGACTTGTCAACTCTCTTCTTCCTGGCCATCTGACCACTTCGCCCTCCTGCCACCACACCTTCCCCATGGCGGGGGACGGTATCTTTCAAACTGTATGCCCAAAGAAACGCTTCCTTCCCCCGAGCTGTGATGAGAAAGGTAACTAACACAGGTGGCATACCTTTTAACCCAATGCTGCTGCTGAGAATGTTCAGGAAGAGAGGCAGCAGAAGCCAAAAATCTCCAACCCTAAGTGTGAGGACCTGGGGGCTGGATACACCACTGGACACACCACTGGATAATCGTGTAAAGGCACCTGCAACTGAGTGTAAGTACCAGAGTCCTGAGGACACTGCTCCCGCACAATTCACTCGGTTCTCTCGTGTGACCTGTAGCGAATCGGCCTGATATTCTGTGGGCAAACACACGGGGAAGATTCTCTTCCACCACGGCATTCGCTTCCCCTGGCGTGAGGTCACAAAAACAGCCATCTTGGGGCACAAGAGAGGATCCAGTGGGGACAGAGTGTAGAGACCTAAGATCAGGATGCCTCCAGCCAGGCAGTCCACACTGCCTCTCCCACCAGGTTCTCTGCTCCTCCGTGTCTGCGTCTGCGTCGATCTCTCTGTCTTTCCGATTCCTCTTTCTCTCTTTTGCTTTTCTCCCTGCCTTTGTCTGCCACTCTTGGCCCCTCTGCCTCGCATTCTCCCCTCCCCTCCGCCCCTCCTCGTCCTTTCTCACCTTAGCCCAGGCTTCTCGCAGGTACCGACATGCGCCCCCTGGTGGCAACATCTCAGCCGCTAGAAATGCTTCTGAGGTCCTGAGCTGTAATGCTTTCTACCCCACATTTACCCCTCACTCCTGGGTACCAGGTCCTGCTCCGGGCAGTTTTACTAATACCCTAGAACCCACCCCACCCCTCATTAAGTAGTTCCTGATATTACCACCACGTCACAGACGTGGGGGAAAAAAAGGCAGAAAGAAGTTTCTGTGCCTCACACTCCCACGGCAAACAAGAAAGAGCTAAGATGTGACCTAGACAGTGTGGCTCCAGCCATCTTAGCCATGGTCAAGTTACACTGAAAACAAACAAACACATAAATAAAAGCACCACCAACCACTCACATTTACTCATATTTAACAGCCAGACTCTCCCGGAGAGATGGGTATGGTCACTGGAGAGAAGAGAATGGTTACTAGCCAGGAGTGTAGTGGGACCTGGGGCAAGGCCCTGTTGTCTCGGCAGCCCAGAATCTTTCACATCTCTACCCAAAGTGCCAACGTTCCTCATTGCTGCGCATGGGGTGACAAGAAGGGACAGGTCCTAGCATCCAGCCTCCATGGCTCTCTAGTGGTCCCTCCCAATCTCTTCTAACTCTGGTTCCGTGTCTGCACAATGAACTAGCAGCACATACTTCCCCACAGGGTTGCTTGGAGGGTTAGTGGGATAACGAGTACATACTGCATACACAGTGGTGAGCACGCTGCCTACACATAGCAATGGTTGAATGGACTACAGTTTTCTTCTATGATACAGGGGTTGGTAAGTCGAGCTACACCCTAACTCATGCTTTTTTTCTTTTTTAAACCCAAGACAGGGTCTGTTTTATTGGTCAAATAAGCTTCTAAGACTGGCCTTGAACTCTGTGTTGGAGGCAGGTCAGGGCTCTGAGATCATTCTGCCCCGTTCTCCTGAGTAGCCAGGATTCCAGGCATGCATCATCAGACTCAGGTAGAATTATAACTTTTAAAAACCATCGCCATTATTACGATAACGAGGTGGAATATCACTGAAAACACTAACCAGATGTAGTTCCCATTGTCTCTAAATGTTTCCCTGTTTCTCCTCATTGAGTCACAGGCAGCCACAGCCAGGGCAAGAAACCATTGAGGGGACAACAGAGTTATGATCTTGGCCATCAGCCTCTGTTGTAAGAGAAAATCAATTTCTAATTCTCTGAATCCCCTCTAAATTCAGGATTAGACTTTTTCCATAAGCTGTTGTGTAAAGAATATATGGGATCTGTCTTAAGCACGGTTCTCAGGAATGTAACAATCAACAGAAAGCTTTTCTACAGCTGGGAAGAAGATCTGTCTGGAAAAGAGCCATGGAAGGACCCATGGTATATGTTTTGGCTCTGTCTACTCCTGGGGAGAGAACCAAAGAGATTAGTGAAGTCCTGGGAAACAGTTGAAGAGTCTTATCTTATTCTTCAGAACATAGTCAGGGTAAATGCCAAGCCCTTAAGGGACACCAGAGGTCAGGGCAGCCCCAAAGCTGCATATAGGAACAGTTGGAAGGCAGCTCAGCAGGGGCTGGGGACAGCGCCTGGCATTCTGTACATTCTTGCAGGGTGCAGAAATAGTTGAATTCCTGGGTCCTGAGCAACCATAAATGGTGAGAGAACTGGTGGCTAGAGGCAGATGAGGAGTTGGGGGCAGTGAGTACCATACAAAGCCATGTCAAGAGCAGGCTATGGCCAGGACCACAGCCTTCAATGCATGACCCCAAAGCACTATTTCTCCTGACTCCTCACCTTGGCCAAGCCCATTCAAGAAGTTTTAGGCCTCAATGGATCTTTTGGTGGCCTCTTTTCTCAACAGAGGTGATGCTCAAGCAAGCAATTCTTACACTGCCACCTCCACCTCCCAGCGAGGCTATGAAGGACTGTGGGAGATGTCCAAGACTCGGAGCTGGCCAGAGCACCACATAGGCTGGCGGTGTGACATTTGGCAAATCTGTCTTTCTCTGCGCTCATTTTCCTCATTGATTCAACAGAGCAGTTATGTCAGAGGAGCCTACATTTCATCTCCTTCCAGTCCTAATATTCCACGGTATTTTTTTTCTCAGCATCCTTAATCTTTCCTTGTCCTGTTTCCTCTACTGTAGATCCTATACTGTCACTGGCCCGCTCCCTGTCCTTGATGATTATTCTATGAGTGTGCAATGGCCATCTCTGCAACTAGGTTTGCAGGTCCCCGGTAAACTAGACCTTGTAATATGCTCAACTAAGAAAACAGTGCATAAATGTTTGGACATTATGATTATAGATCTCAGCTCCAGACAGTCTGATGCCTGTCAGGCTCTTTAAACAGTCTCTCCATCACTCACAACAAACTTGCAAAATGTATTCCACGATCCACAATTTAAGTATGGCTTACAACCATCTTGGGGTGGCTTTATTTGACCGTAGAGCCTTTGACAAGTCACAAGATTTTTCCTTCTTTGATATTTCCTTCCTGAAACGCCTGAGGGGGTGAGGGCATGGGGTGATGTGTGCACTCTGTGTTTGCTGGCTGTGGCTGCCTTCCCATAAGTGACTGAACTCACCACTCAGGACTTCAGGTCCAGTTACACAGCTCATCAGGAGGAACAGCCAAACACCTTTGGGAGCCATTTTGTCTTTCCCTGGAGATGACACTTCGATGCTTTAATTCCAAGGCCCTCAGAGCTCTTTCCAGTTTGCCCTTAAAGTCTCTGGTATCTTTTAGATCTGCAATTTGGACCAGAGAGAAGGATGCTGGAATTGAGATATCACAAATCTAAAGTAGATTTCCAAGTAGATGCAACTTTTACAATGAAGATAATCTCAAGGTTAACATAGAGATGTTGAGCATTTAATTTATGAGGTTTTATTCTAACCTTCAAGCTCCCCTCTGCCCCCCGGAACCAATGTCAGAGCCCTCCCTAACTCAGCAGGCAGAAGTGCTTAGCAGTCTGAGTAGATAGTTTGGGAACCACGAAGATTTTCTGTTATCTCCAGGAGAGACAGCAGAGGGCGACCTGGGCACATTTCCTCCCCGGTGATGACGGGCCTTCTGAAGTCCCAGAAATGTAACAAAGTGGTTCCAGTACTGAGATTTCTTTTAAGGTTGAAGGTAAAGTAAACAGATGGCCCACATACAGTTAGAGAGAAGAAGCCTGGGGTTTTCAAGGCCTGGGTCATTTGCTCTGTGTCACCGGCTGCAACTAGATCTGAGTCTTTAACCCTGCTGATATCACTTTAAATAAAAAGCTTTGCTAGTCTCCCCCTTCATTGTCGAAAAACCCACGAATCATTAAAATATCAACATAGACCAAGAACTAGGAAGTGAGCCCATGTCCCAGAGATAAGCCGTTCAGACCCCTTCCTAGGCCCCGAGTATAGTTTTACGTCAATTAAAGTCAATTAAATCACACTGCCTTGTAACCCGGCTGCTCCTCAGACACAGACCAGCCACAGAGGACGTTCTTGCAGTCACGGATTTTTGTTCATTTTCTCTTCTCTGTTTGGTGTGAACTCACTCATTCTGCTAAGTCCATCGTCGTTTTGAACCCCGGCTGCTGAAAGGCTCGCCTACCCATCCTATTGGTAGAACTCAAGGCTGTTGCCCTCTATCTCATGAAAATAATTTTGTCAAAAAATATTGTTTACTAAATTTGGTATTTCGAAAGAAATAGTTGCTCGTCCCTAAAGGCTGCCAATGAAGTGGGGCATCTTTTTATATATGATGTTTACAATTTCTTATGTGAATTATCAGTTTATAGCTTTGGACATTTTTCTATTTTGTTGTTCTCTTTTAATGACTGGTGAGACTGTTTGTGTGTATTTATGCCTCCCATTGGGGTACTAAAAGTACTTCTGAGTTCATATTTTTCTCTCATCTCTTTCTCTCTATTTTTTTTACTATTCTAAAGGACTTCAACTGTAGGGGCCAACATAACGCCCCAAAACTCCCCTTGTTTTTGCTTCCTCACAGGAATCCCTACCCCTCTGCCTACCACATTCAACAAGCGCTGAGCT